CCTAGGGGCAAGAGCCACTTGCTGTGACGTCCCAGCACTGCCGCAGCCATGTCCCCCACCCTCCCCTGTTCCTTAGAGCCACGGGCCTGCCCCCGCTCCCACTGAAGCCAAAGCAAAAGCTCCCAGTGGCTTTCAGGAGCTGCAAGACCAGGCCTGCTGGCCTTCAATGGGGCCCTGCAGCCTTTGCATCTCAGGCTATGCCGCTGAGCGCCAGAGACAATGCCATGCTGCGGTTAGAGCCGGGGCCTGGGACTCAAGAGAGCTGGGTTCTGTGCCTGGCTCTGCTATGGACAGGCTGGGCCGGTCACGCTCCATCTACCTGCCTCTGCTTCCCCACCCACGGCCTGGGGGTAGCCACCCTGTCTGCCCGGGGAGTATCCCTGTTCATTAGGCGTTACCTCAGGTCCCTGACCAGGCAGGCTGGTTTCACATGCTGTGCAGGGCCAGGGTGAGCAGGGACATTAACCTAGAAAGCAGGCGACCGAGGGCTCCTGCTGCCCTGAAGCTGAGAGTGCTCATCAGAGTCGGCAGCTGTGCCAGCTCAGATCCCATCTGTTTCCCTGTATCCGGCAAGTGGGAGCCCCGTGTGCCTCACCCTCTCTGGGCTGGGGTGTTCTGGTGGTGGGTCAGGGTCTGTTTGCTAGGTGGGGCCCTGTAACTAGGGCACTTGGGAGAGTTGCCCTCCCTCCTCTCCCATGCATGGGAGAGGAGGGAGGGCAACTCTTCCACCTCCCCTGGGGTCCTGCTGCTCCCCAGTTTGAGTCTGGGCCACCGGGCGACTCCCCCGTGTGGGAATGGCCCTCGGAGCAGCGCCGACACTGTCAGAGCTGGAGTGCATCTATGGGACCGATCCTTGGAGGGGCTGAGTGCCCCATTGGAGCCGACGAGTGGAAAGGGAGGTGAGGGCCCCACAGGATTAATGCGATCAAGCCAGCGACTCTAATAATGGAGCCCACAGAGTGGAGACGGCATCCCGCCATGGGTATCAGCAATTGCAGGGGGCGGTAGGCTGCCGTTACCTCACTCTACTGACTGTGCCATAGGAGAAAGGCCAGTGGATAGCCCCCTCCTCTCCCAACACTCACCACACGGCTCTCACGCTGCTCCATTCTGCCCATGCCACCAAAGGCTCCATCAACCACTGCTGATCCCCAGACCAGGTACCACAGTGATGGGCACGGTACAAAACCAACACCCCTAGGCGATAAGACTAGGCAGAGGGAGAATCGTTTGAGAATCATCTTTAGGAACACAGAACTGGAAGGGACCTCTTGGGTCACTGAGTCCAGTGCTTTGTTGTCACAGGCAACCCCGTCAGAGACTCCTGTTCAAAAACAGATCAATCTCCATCTTCAGACTAGCTAGGGCTTGTCAGAGGCCATGTGGTCCCAGCCTGCAGACGCTGCAGGATCATTCATACAGAGTCACACATTCACTGTAAGCTCAGAGCCTGTCTCTTCCCATGTGTTTGTACAGCACCAAGCACGGCGTGGCCTTGCTCCTGACTGGTCTGGGTGCAGCCATACTACCAATGACTAGCTCCACTATTTTTCCATTTTGAAAAGCCACCGTAGTTCTCAGGAATGGTGCTGCATGGTTAGCCCTGCAGCCAGGAGCCCTTGAGGTACCTGCCGGTTAGAGTGATGTTTGGATGCATGGACTCTATCTTGATACTCTGATTCCCTGCCAGCTGATTGTCTGGCATCCACCACGTATTGGTAGCAGAGAAGCCAGGGGAATGCTCTGTCTGGGCTCTGCAATCCCTGGCTCAGAACATGCTGTGACCCTAAGCCCCATATTCTTCATAGAGATGTTGTTATGATATGATTATGGCGTAACTATGAGGTGTTTTATACAAGATGGGTCATGGGAGATGTCATCGGAAAGGTTATGCTTGGCTGAATATGATTCTCCTATTTGTATGCATGCGGCATTCTGGTATCTGAAGTTAGGAATATGGTCTATGCCTCTATTACAAATGTGTTTACACCTGGGGAATGCCCACTGGACAGAATGCAATCAGTCTAGATGGCTGGCTGGGAAGGGCCATTAGGGAAAACAACAGGTCTTAGAAGATGCTAATCTCCCTCTGGGGAGCCTTCTTGGGAAGTTTTCCTGAGGACGCTACAAACAGCCTCCGAGTTATGTGACCCTAAAGGGACAAGTGACCAAGTCACCTGGTACTGGACTTCATCTTGGAATACCAGTGTTTTTTCCACTGAAAGGCGTGGGAACTAAGTCTGGAGACAAAGGATTCCCGCCATATACAAAAGCTATTTAAGGCACGGGAGTGACATCACCAGGGTTCTTCTCTGACTCCCAAAGGAGACTGCTGGAAACACCTGAGGAACAAGGACTGGAACTGGGGAGAAGGGCTGAACCCAGGCTAGACGGGTTTCAAGCCTGTGAAAGGTATACCTGGCGTTTTAAGCTGCAAACAAGTGCAGTTTGCCCTCAAGAACTGCCAAAATTAACAATTAGGGTGAGAATTTGCTACTCATATCCAATCTCTTTAGTATATTAAGCTTAGATTGTGTTTTTGTTTATTTGCTGGGTAATCTGCTTTGATCTGTTTGCTATCCTTTGAAATCATTTAAAATCTATCTTTTGTAGTTAATAAACTTGTTTTTGTTTTGTCTAAAACCAGTGTGTGGACATTATAACTTGGGGCAGAAAACATATCTCTCTCCACACTGAGGGAGGGGGTGAATTTTATGAGCTTACGGTGTACAGTTCCCTGTGCAGTGCAAGACAGTATAACTTTGGGTTTACATTCTAGAGGAGGGTGCACGCCTTGGGAACGGGGAGGTGCCTTAGCTGAGCCTTCCTATGCAGAGCTGATCCCAGCATCTGTGAGCAGCTGCAGCTGGGTGTGTCCCCACCTATGTGTATGCTGATTTAAAGAACAAGCTTGGAGAGCTTAGCAACTTGTCACACCAGCACAGTGTGAGAGGGAGCCCAGGCTGGTGGGTCATGGGAACTCAGTGATACCCCAGTTTCAGGTGGCACCCCGGGGGAACTCGTCACACATGCATCATCTCCCAAGCCCAAATGAATACACCTCTCCCTGTAGATTGCCATCCTTATTACCTAAACACATTGACAGTTGCTGGTGACTGCCCCATGCGATTCAACACCTCCAGGTAACCTGCCCTGACCCCACAGCCATCTGACTGGTGGGAAGAAATTAAAAAGCAACTCCAAATGTCTCCAGGTGGCAATGAACCTGGCTCTGGGCCTCCACAGAACAATATCCACTTCCACACTCCTCCTCCACCTGACTGCAAAGCACAAGGCCCTGTCCGTCGGGAAGCTGCGGCTCTTTCCAAGATAACCCCAGTGAAACCCAGCTGGGAACTGGGAACCATAGGTGCTGGAACTGGGGGTGCAGTAGCACCCCAGGCTGTAAGTGGTTTCCATCAAATGCAGGGTTTACAGTTCCATTCAATGGCTCTCAGCACCCCCCTATACAAACTGTCCCAGCACCCCTGCTGGGAATTCTGTGCAAAGGAAGACTGGGAAGTGCTAGCAGGGGGGCGGGGTCCTGCCAGCCACTCTCTCTCCACTTGATGGCAGGGTGTGTGGCTGGGGAGTCCTCTTCCAATCACCAGTGAGCGAATTCAGGGCCTAGGACAGCAAGGGGCTATTAGTATAGTGCAGGGAGACTGCAAACTTCCCAACTTCTCACTGATCCTGACCTGCAACCCTACCCAGCTAGTCCCATCCTGAGCCCCTCGCCTTGCCCAACTTGGCCAATGCACCTCAGTCCGGAGCTGCAGCGTCATCTATCCTGGAGCCCCTCTCCCACCACAGCCTGGCCAACACCCCACAATCCCAAGCTGGAATCCCCAACCCCCTCATTTCAACCCAGAGCCCCACAGAGCTCCACCAAGACTCCTCTGTTCTGACTGTAACACCCCCTGCTCTGGGCTTCCCACAGCTCAGTCAAAACAACAGCCTTCAAACCTGCTACACCCACGGCTGTTCCACTCTTGGACCCGTCCTGTGTCCAGACTGGTGAGATGCCCAGAGAGCGGAAGGGGAGCCGACAGCCACTAAACCAGGCAGACAACACACACAGGGAGCAGCAAAGCCACCCGCTACCACAGGCCGACACTCACAAGGCACAGCCAATACTGCCCGCATGCACTGACTCCTGCAGGCATGCAGAGAGCTCAGCCACGCTGCACCACCTACACAATGGACACGCCAGAAGCCCGGCCCAAAGTCACAAGCAGGTACCAGGAATAATAGACTTTGTATTGCTCCTGCAGAGTCCAGCTGCGCAAATCAAGGCACCCTTGACAATCTTAATTAAGCCTCCCGACTTGCCTGGGTGTGGGGGAAGGTAGGTATTGTCATCCAGATGGGGAAACTGAGCCACAGGAGTCACATGACCTGCCCAAGGTCATTGTGCGGCCAGGGCAGAGCTGGGATCAGAAGCCAGAAGTCCTCACTTCCAGACTGGAGCTTTCACCACAGTCACAGGCGAACCCAGACGCACACCCAGTGCACGTGTGCAGAGCAGCCAGCAAAGGGATAAACATCAACTCGCCCGGGGAGCGCTGGGAATCTGGACTGCCCGTGACAAACAGCTACGGACAGAGTCTGCCAGGGCCAGCAGCCGCCCTGAGCTGCCTCACAAGCCAAATAACCGTCCCGCCACCCCCCCGTCTGGCTCCTGGGGCGGGAGAGCAGATGGGAAACAAAACAAGACTCTGAGCAGCAGCCGGGAGGGGTCCAAAGCAACCCTCCCCTCTAACAAAACCCAGCAAAACCCTGTTCCCCTGCCCTCTTGCGCAGGCCCTGGGGGCTTTGCGTACTGACCTCTCAGTGTTGGGATGCAGAAGTGCAAGGGGGCAGAGAGCAACCAGGTCCAGTTCTGTGCAGCCAGCTGCCCTGCATGTCCTCCCTGGCTATTTTTACTCTACATATAACACTGTCATTCGCACTGCATGCCGGGAGGGAGATTTCTCACAGCCTCTGAGCTGAGCCAGCAGAGAGACACCTGACTCCCAGGGATGTGATCTGCATAGCAATGATTTAGGGGAGAAGGGGGGAGTGCATGGTGCAGACAAAGAGCCCAGTGAGAGCGAGAGCACAGAGGAGCTGGCTGGAGGTGCTGGAGTTACAGCAGGGAGAATGGGGCCAGGCTCAGCTCAGGTCTTGGGGCCCAATCCTGCTCCCATTGAAGTCAACAGGCAGGGCCAGAATTTGGCCCGTCATCCAGGGTGAGTCCCCTGAAGCTTGTAGGGCTATTGCAGTGTTGCAGCTCTGTGACTGAGGCCAGAAGGGGGCCCAGCACGTTTGCACCCACAAAGGAGGCTGAAGTGCCGTTTCCTGACCCCCTTCCCAGCCCTGTTTGGCGTGCAGGGGGCAGGTATGGTAGCCCTGGGGCGAGGTTCTGCACTGATCCCCAGATCAGATGTGGCATGAGCAGCAGCAGGGCAAGCTTTCCCCACATGCAGCCCTGCAAATGTGCCCTGGGGGGACCCCCTCTAGGGCTCAAGGGGGAACTGTTCCATGTGCTGGTCGGCCCCGGGGGAGGTCAGCTTTTGTGATGTGGCGAGTGGGGACTCACCCCTGGGAACTGTCTGGAAATCCCCCCCCCACCCCCCGCACCTCCCCAGGAAGTACCATCCTGGGGGGAGAAGGGGGGGGCAGACCAAACCGCTCCATGCTCAGGCTAAGCGGGAGAGCTCATTATTTCACCAAGTGGGGCATTTTTTGCAGGTGTGGCTAAAATACTCTGGCTACAACAGCCTCTTCCTGCCATCTGCCAGGCACCCAGAGAGGCACAGCACAGCTCCGTCCGGGGACGTGCTGCGGCTCAGACAGCAGCCACTCTGGACCATAAGGGCGTCTCCTTGCTCAGACCTAGCTGTTCGTCTGATGGAAGGTGAAAATAGCTCTTCCTGTCCCCTCCCCTCCAGAACTGCACCCAAACAAGGGACAGTGCTTTGGGGGAGCTAACCCCTGCACTGCTGGGCCCTGCTGCAGCACCAGGGCAAGCAACCCCACAAAGACCTTGCCTACTGCATGGGGGCAGCAGAACCAGACGGGGGAGCCATCCAGTGTACCAGGCAGCGCAGCTGTTAAAATGCTGCTGTAGGATCTTCTTCGTCTTACTCCCTTTTGCTTGTGTGTCCAGGTGGAAGAAGGAAGCATGAAGAAGAAGGAAGCAGGACACTGGGCTTCCATTCCCAGCTCTGCCCACTGCCTTGTTGTGTGGTGTAGAAGTGGGACTGTTCTTAATGTTTCCTCTGAATAGTGTGGGGGTGCCTCAGTTTCCCTAGGCAGTTCTTAAGTATCTAGGTGGTGGGGTAAGGGTGTATGATCATTGCAGTGCCCTAGAGGGCATGTGTGCAGGAGTCTGGACACAGAGAATGGCCAACACCCTGTTTCCTGGCAACTGATGGCCTGGGCCCTTCCCCCTGCAAGGTGAGAGCTGAAGGGTTGGAGAACAAAGGAATCAGGTGACCTCCTGGCCCGGGAAAGGAACAAAGCCCAGAGGAGGAGGGGCTGGAGGGGTTTTTCAGTTTGGGGCTGGCTGGGACATGGAGTGAAGTGCAGACGTGGTTGTCTGGCTCACTGCCCCCAGAATGGACCCAGCTGAGGGGTCCCGTTCTCTGCACCTGCAAGCTCTGTTTTAGACCATGTTCCTGTCGTCTAATAAACCTTCTGTTTTACTGGCTGGCTGAGAGTCACGTCTGACTGCGGTTGGGGTGCAGGACCCTCTGGCTTCCCCAGGAGCACCGCCTGAGCGGACTCGCTGTGGGAAGGACGGAGAGGCAGAGGATGCTGAATGCTCCGAGGTCAGACCCAGGAAGGTGGAAGTGTGTGAGCTGTGTGTCCTGAAGACAGGCTGCTCACAGAAAGGCGACTACCCCAGAGTCCTGACTGACTTCATGGGGAGCAGTTCCAGAGCATCGCCCAGGAACTCCGTGACAACTGGTGGCAGCGGTGGGATCTACTGCACCCCGTGGATGGCGCTTCCTGCAGTAAGTGACTGGGGAGCAGTAACACGAAGGGGGATTGCCGAGGACCAGGCCTGCTGAAGGTCAGAGAGGAGCGGTTTCGGGGGCGGTTAACCCCTGGGAGTGTGTGACCAGCGAGAAGTACTGTGCAGTAATGGGGTCCCCCTGGGGACTGCAGTGAGCAGTCTCAGGGGCGGAGGAGTCTGCAGCTCGACCCTGGCAAAGAGGTGGTGACCTTGAGAAGGGCTGGCACACTAGGGGTTCTCCCTGGAAACCGTGGGGAGCTGAGAACACACGGGCCTGTGAGTCCACAACAACTTGGGAGGAGCGGAGGATGGCTGTCACCGTCTCCTTAAGAAGGACATTGTAACCCTGTGCAGAAAGAGAGGGTTGAGCATTGGAAAGTTCACCAAAGCAGAGTTAATCGTGCAGCTGGAGGAGGATGAGCTCTAAGGAACAGATTCCTGACCCCAACTGGGGCTATAGCAGGATCTGGGAGCAGCTGAAGGGGAGCCAGGATCGCCAAGACTCCTGTCCCCGACCAGACGAGGGTCTTCATGATGGGTTCCCCATCGGGGGATCAAGACGGACGGGATTGCAGCTGAGTCTGAGAGAGCAAGAGGACGTGGGAGACAGCGAGAGCTCCGAGAAAGAGCTGCAGAAGCAGCAGCAGCATGAACTGGCGGTGGTGGGGCGGAGAGGCCTAGGGACCTCCCGGGGTGAGTGGGGATAGATCCCGGGGGCCAGTTCCGCAGGGAACCTCGAGACTAAATTGTGCCCCTGGTTAAGGAGGGGGGGTGTGGATGCCCACCTCACTGCCTTTGAGCAGGCTGGCGATTTGAACCAAGGGGACCCTGGGAAAAGCCCCGGTGTCTAGCTCCCTTGCTGGGTCCCAAGGCCATAGACTCCTCAGCCAGGTGGTTGGGGATGTGGACAGGCTCCCACCCTGACCCCAACCTATATGTCTGTGTGGAGTTTCCTGGGGCCAGGCCCCCGGACCTCCAGTGGGAGTAGAAGGTGATGGTCAATGGGGAGACATTCTTGGGGTGGCCAAAGGGCATGGGCTGCAAAACCTTCCCACATGCCCTGCGAGTGCTATCGACCACCCCTGACCTAAGGGAGGGCGGAAACTGGAAGGGCCTGGTGTAACTCCTACCAAGGAATGGGAGAGATGCTGGGGCATCCATGGGAACGTTGGTGGTTCGAACTTCCCCAGGTCACCGGCTAAAGTGACCCCGCCAGTTCGATCTCGAAGGGGGAGAGATGTGACGAAGTGGGACTGTTCTTAATGTTTCCTCTGAATAGTGTGGGGGTGCCTCAGTTTCCCTAGGCAGTTCTTAGTATCTAGGTGGTGGGGTAAGGGTGTATGATCATTGCGTGCCCTAGAGGGCATGTGTGTGCAGGAGTCTGGACACAGAGAATGGCCAACACCCTGTTTCCTGGCAACTGATGGCCTGGGCCCTTCCCCCTGCAAGGTGAGAGCTGAAGGGTTGGAGAACAAAGGAATTAGGTGACCTCCTGGCCCGGGAAAGGAACAAAGCCCAGAGGAGGAGGGGCTGGAGGGGTTTTTCAGTTTGGGGCTGGCTGGGACATGGAGAGAAGTGCAACGTGGTTGTCTGCTCACTGCCCCCAGAATGGACCCAGCTGAGGGGTCCCGTTCTCTGCACCTGCAAGCTCTGTTTTAGACCATGTTCCTGTCGTCTAATAAACCTTCTGTTTTACTGGCTGGCTGAGAGTCACGTCTGATCGGTTGGGGTGCAGGACCCTCTGGCTTCCCCAGGAGCACCCCTGAGCGACTCGCTGTGGGAGACGGAGAGGCAGAGGATGCTGAATGCTCCGAGGTCAGACCCAGGAAGGTGGAAGCTGTGTGAGCTGTGTGTCCTGAAGACAGGCTGCTCACAGAAAGGCGATACCCCAGGTCCTGACTGACTTCATGGGGGGTTCCAGATCGCGAACCGTGACATGTGGCCTCAGGCAAATCACTTCCCCGTGCCTCAGTTTCCCCTTGGGATAGTACTTAGGGGAGTTGCGAGGCTCAAGTCCCTGGTGTATATAGAATACTATGAAAAAGGCCACTCAGCACCTTGAGTTATTACTCCTGGATTATTCACTGTTTATGTACTTCTGTTGTGTGTATTCACTTACTCTGAATGCCAAGAAGTGATGCCGAGCAGTGACAGCATAACAGTTACTGAGCCTGTGCCTTAATACAGCCCCTTGCCTCGGAGGCATGAGAACAGCCGGGTGCCAGCTCTGGGCCCCATTGTGCTAGGTGCTGTACAGACATATGGCAAGAGACAGTCCCTGCCTCTAGTAGCTTGCAATCTTGTGTGAGGCAAGCCTGAAGGAACCACCCCGGTGGGCAGGAAGAAGAGGGAGGAGGTGGTTTATAATCCCAGGCTGGTCTTTCAAGCAATGACAGCGTTTGGATGCGGAGCCATTAGAAACCATTTCCTCTGGGCAGGCTCCAAAGTGGAAGCTGCACAACTGAGGGCTAGCCCGTCCCACAGCGGCCCCAAGACAAGGGCCCCATGGAATTAATTCCCCTGCCCCAGCTAAACCAGCCCAGCCTGACGACGCTGCACCTCTGTCTCCCAGACAATCCAGTGATGGCTCAGGCCAGCTGCTCTGCCTCCCGCCTGACGCCCACCCACACACGCCCCTCCTTGCTGGTGGCTGGGGGCAATTCACCAGCTGGGATCAGGAACTAGGCCCCTGACACTCAGCCGGGCTTGCAGTCAACACAGCAGCAGGAGAGAGCAGGGCCCAGGGTGGACGAGCCAGAGATGGGCAGAGGCCAGGGCTGGCTTTAACTGACTCTCTCTGCTGCCTTGGGGCTGTCATGGGGGAGGCTTCCCTGCCCCCACATGGACTGTTTTTGGTGGGGGAGGCTTGTCCAGCCTGCCCCAGGCGTTTGCTGCAGGGCTAGTCTCCTCAGGAAAAGGAGGTTGCAGGCCAGGGTGGGTTTAGGGCAGAGTGAACGCAGCATAGCGCTGCTCCATCTCCTCCACACCCACTCAGCCAAACAGGGCCCCCAGGTTGGCATGATGCAGGTGATCTGGAATCAGCAGGGGGTGAAAAAGCAGCCATCCTGCCCACTGCCCCGGGCCCCGCTGCGCTGATGAGAGCCAGGATCCTTCTGGAGCAGACCCGGGTGCAACAGCATCAGCTGCCCGGCTCAGCACAGCTGACGCCGTGTGAGGGATGGGCTAGCCCCCCTGTGCATGCACAGTGCCTAAAGTGTCTGAAAAAAGTGAGTGAGGGGGTCTCACAATCAGGGAGCTGCAGCCGTGGTAAGACAGGGTTTAAAGTGCGGCCCACAGCAGCCCAGCTCAATGTTAAATGTTCCCTTTGTCAAACTGCAGTCCCTTCCGAGCTCCCCAAGCACCACATGCCTGCAGCTGCTTACTCGCCCCACGGCTCTCCCGGTAGCCAGTCTCCTCTCCCATCTCCTAGAAAGCTCACGCACCATAACACACACAGACCCACATCAGGGCTCCCGCCCCTTCCATCCCTCCACCAGGGAGTTGCTTAGAATTGTCAGGCGTACTCGGCCCATCCATCTGGGGCTCACCATCCATCGCCGCTTCTCTTCCCTGGGATCCCGTCCAGCAGCACCCCTTCCCCATTCTCTATCCCCCTACGCTCCCTTTCCCTCCTCTACCTGCTCCACTCTCTCCTCCCCTGGCGTTCTCCGGGTGCTCACCGCCCACCCTGCATTCTCTGTTCCCTGCTCTGTGCTGCGGCTGTTCCTGACCTCAGCCCACTGGCTGCTGATGGCTCCAGCATGTGGACTCTGCAGTATGTTTCCACAGGCCCACGGGAGCGTCCCTGGTTCCTGTTTTTGACCCTTCAGGAGGAAGTTTTGTTAATTTCCAATCCCGGGCCTGGAAATTCCAATGGCATCTCCCTTAGGCTCCTAGCTGGGGCCTGGGGAGCGTCACTGCGGCCTTACCTGCCCTTCCTCATCTTCCTCCTGAGGATGTTCTCTGTCTGCACCATAAGGCGAGTCTAACAGAGCCAACTGCGGAGACCCTAAACCAGAGAGATAAACAGTCACCAGGAAGCCATGTCAAATACCCCGAGGGTTCAGGGGATGGGGGTGAGGGGGTGACAGGGGGACACAGGGGGAGTGCTAGCAATGGGACGGGTTTGAAGTCTTGTCAGATCAGCATCCGTAAGTGCAGTTGTCTATCAGAGCCATAACTAACCCTCTGTACCTTAGGAAACCCCCATCCCATCCCTGGCTCCTTCCACCCACTACACATGCGTTTCCGTGTTCCTCTCAGGGTCATCGGAGCCAGCTGTGCCAATCTGTTCCAGGATCAGACTGCTGCTGCAGGGACCCAGGGACCTCTGAGCTCTGGCACCCTCTTAGGATTGCTTTGCAAAAGGCTACACTGCACAGTGAGTGGGAGATTTGAAGGGCTGATCAATAGGGCCCTGCAGAGCAACAGTGGCTGCCTGCCGCAGATATTAAAAGGCGTGGGTGGGGATGAGCTCAATGTCGCTGTGAGATTAGCCCAGGGTCCGTGCATAGTGTGTGTGTGTGGGCACATGGGCATCGTCAGCAAGCTAGAACAGTGGGAATGATGGTGGAAGAATCAGAGAGGAGCTGGAAGCCCCTGCAGGGTAGATGCCTGGGGGGGGGGGGGGGTGCCACATTAATAGATCCTTTCCAAACTGTCCAGGAGGAGGCAGAGATGCACAGACTATGTACTGCAGACAGCATGGCCCAGTGGGCAGCACACCAGCCTGGGCGTCAAGAGCTCTGAGGTCTATTCTGGACTGCCATTGGCTTGCAATGTGACCTTGGGCAAGTCACATGATGCCTCCGTGCCTCAGTCTCCCTATTGAGGTAGTATGGCTTACCCCATATTCTAAGGTGCTTTGCACTTGGCAGTAGTGTCTCCTGGGTAGCTACAGGAAGTGGGGTCTTTGGGGAGATTTTCAGACTCTAGGGGAACAGCTGTGTGTTTGGTTAGTGGGTTGGATGGCGGGGGGCACTGTGAATGAGAGAGTCTGCCAGCCTTGGGGCTGCCCTAGCCTGTGCTATGAGCTGCCTGGACCCCAGCAGCCTATGCAGAGAGGAGGCACAAGCTGCTTCCCTCCATCCCTCCACTGGCACTTGTGCGGGTGCAATGCCCTCCATGCCAGCCTCATGCAAAAATCACCCTGGGGTTCTGTGTTGCCTGGTGCAGAGATGGGCTCATCCCTGCTGGTTTGTTCCTGCCAGACACTGAGGTGAGGTCAGGAGCTCGGAATGAGCCTGGGGACGGGGTATTCGGGTTCCTGTTTCCCACAGGATGAGGCATGTCTTGGAATGGGTTAAAAGCATCCCGGGGATCTCTGCTGCTTTAGGCGACTCTTCCCCATTGTCTCTGGAAATGGACTCCCCTTCCGGCTCCCAGCGGAGACGCCCTGAAAGCAGAGGGCAGCGAAATCTGCAGAGCCCTCGCCTGGCGTGGTGACATGCCCCAGAGAACGGTGGGGGAGGCTTCCACAAGGATGGAGCCTGCCCCAAGATGAGAATGTCACCCCGGCGACCCAGCCCCGCTCGGCCACGGTGGACAGTGCGGTGGGGGCTTCCGAGGGCAGATGGTCTCTGCCAGTCACTGTTCCTCCAGCGGGCAGATAGACACTCCCTTCTCTTCCCTTGTACTGCACGCAGGGACCAGAACAACGACACTGCCCTTCTCACCTGGGAATATCAAAGCACTTTGCACCAAGGGGGAGGCTTACAAAGGACACTGAGGTGCCCACGTCTCATTGATTTTCAATGGCGGTTGGGTGCCCAAGGTATCTTTGTGCCTTTAAAAAAAACCTTCTCATTAATGAGCCCTCGCAGTCCCTGGTGGGCCGGGTCTGTATCATTCTCACCATTGTACAGACTGGGGAAAGCAGAGAGGTGAGGGGAACTGCCCAGTGTCACACAAAGTTGATGGCAGGGCCAGGTACAGAGTCAGCCCTCTCGTCTCCCACGTCCTGGCTCTAACCATTAGGCTGCGCTGATTCCCTAGGGACTAGAGGGTTTTGGGGATCACCCGGACAGCTGGATGCCCTGAGCTCAGCTGAGTGCTGCTCCCTGGCCCGTGCAGAAGTCAGCGGTCAAGTCTCCCACCCACCTCTCTCATGATGCCACTGGGCGAACCCCAGACAAATCAGCAACACAAGCCGGACTGCAGAGTGCCGGCGGGGCAGGGAGACATGTGGGGCAGGGGGAGAAGCGCACCAGCTTTGTGGGGCTCACGCAATCCAAAGGCCGGAGCTGCCTCCAAGTTGCAGGGACTCCCGTGAAGGGAACAAAGACTCTGGGGTGCATCACTGCCGGAGCACCTCCATCGCCTCCCCCGCTAGCTATGCCATGGCTCTTGCACAAGCAGGAGGGGATGGGAGCCCCCAGATTTACTTCAGATTCCGAAAGCCGGCCGTAAGGGGCTCGCCCTGTGCAGAGCAGGCCGGGGGGGTCCCATCTGGACATGGAGTTACAACTCCCAGGGGTCTGTGTGCCCGGAAGCAGCCCAGTTTCCTTGGCCAGTTGTCCTGAGTGCACCTAAGGGGCTCTGCTCTCACCTGCTGTATCAATGCCATGCGGGAAGAGCCGCTCCTGAACCATGGCGCTGATGTCACCAAATACATCCTCCTCCTCTCTGTCTGCGTCAAACTGAAAGAGGGGAGACCGAGACAGCCATCAGCCGGGTTCTGGGGGTGGGGGAGGGGTGTGGTGGGGGAAGGGAGACCGGGAACTCCACTCCACGCTGGGGTTCAGGACTCCCCCACAGTGAATCCCACCTGCATCTCAGAAGAACGAGACCTCAGGGCCATAGTGCACATTAGGCAGGTCAGTGCCAGGGTCCTGTGAGCATGTCCCATGCTTACCCTTTGTGATCAGTACCAGAGACCTGGACCCAGTATGTGTCAGGACCCTAAATCAAGCTGGTAACCAGGACATCAAGACCCAGGGCTTGGATCTGTGCAAGTGTTGGTGTCTGGGACTACTAACTAGACCAGCTTCAGTGGGAAAGACTGTGTCCCAATCCAGGCGCAGGCTGCCCCAACGGAGCCTTACCCGGACGATGATGCTCTTTTCCTGATAATATTTCACAATCAGCGAGATGTTCTGCTTGAAGGTCTCCACCCTCCGGTCAATGGCGTGGGCATTATCGTCCGGCCGGCCCTGCTCCTGCGCCCGTTTCTCCAGACGCTGCCGGAGACATTGGTTGGAGCAGGCCAAGAAAACCACCAGGTCTGGGGAGCCGATCTGCCAGTGAGAGAGACAAGCACTCAGAGGCAATACAGTGGTGATCCCTTCCCTACAGGGGGCTCTGGGTAGTCCTTGATGGGCCTGACAGGGGCTCTGAGGATTTCAGGGCTCCTTGGGAGCTGAGACCCCATCAGCAAAGGACTCTAATGGCTGCCAGCCCCTCCACATCAACACGCCCCCCTTCCACAGAGGAGCTGCAGGTCTCCAATGAGTCCTGCCATCCCACAGAGGGGTCTGAAGAGCCCCGTGGCATCCCTGAATCAGTGTGGCCCTGTCCCTCAGGGACTAGAAGGGTCCAGGCATTCCCAGGACCCTTGGGCTGAAGTGAGTCGATCATGATCCCATCTGGGACCCTGAGCGCAGATGTTACTCCTCCCTCTGTAGGGCTGGCCGGGCTCCCATCGTCCTCCGGCAGTGCGGGAATAACAGCGGGCGCCTGACATGCCCTCGGAGAGGAGCGGCACTACCGTGGCAGCTCCAGGGCACCCAGGCTGGCACCCAGGGCAGGTGTGTGTCTTAGGAGAGGAGGGGGAAACTGAGCCATGCACCTGCCTTTGGCCAGCAAAGGGTCACCGAGAGCAACGGTCTTTGTCCTCTGTGTAGTTGGGTTTTGCCAAGCCGTGCCCTGTGTCCTCAGAGAGCAGAGCCTGGAGCTGGGGCACACGTCCTGAGGCCAGGGGGGGAGGGGGCAGCATGGAGGGGCTCGGCCAACATGCAATAACCAGAGAAAGGAAAGGACAAAGCAGCATGTCCAAGGAATATAGTGCCAGGTGAGGGGATGCTCTTCGGAGAGGCCCGGGGCAGAGGGTGCCAGGAGAGGGACACACCTTCAGAGAAGGCCCCAGGGAGCTGGTGCCTGATGAGGGCACAGGGAAAGGGGCAGCCCAGGATGGACAGCAAAGGCTTGTAAAGCCCCTTTGTTTTTCCACAGCTGCACCTCACCTGCTCCTCGAAGGTGAAGGCCTGTCCTATCTCCCGGGGGAACCCATCCACCACGAAGCCTTTGGCGTCTTGCTGCTTAATGAACTGCTGCTTCAGCTCCTCAATGGTAGTTTCCTGCAAGGCAAAGAGACCTCTCGAGGGGCTCGTAATGGGGGATGGAGACTGAGCCTCTCACCTACAGGCCACTGGGCTGAACCCAGCCCGGCTCAGAAGGAACCCAAAAGTCATTCCCAGTTGGTGGCTGCCAGATGGCCTATGGGACATGAGTTTGGTGGGTCTCAGTCCGGTTCCTGATGGAACAGTGTTGAGAGCACAAAACCCACCATTGTAATTGACACTAATTGTCCCCTTGTTGGCAGGCTCAGCAGAGACACCTGACTGGGCTATGGTTCCGTAACTCCCTGTGACGCTGTATGGAATTTGGGGGACACGTTAGTATATTATGAACACCAATATTGTAAAATTGCAATGAGTTGTGCCAGATATGCCATGTCAAGTATCTGCAAAAATGTTATAATTTGGCAAGTATGATAATCTTGTTTGTATCACCTTTGTATTAGGAGTTATAGATATGTATGTATGTCTGTATTTAAAACTTGTGCCATGCTTCTGGGCCTGCTTGATGGCTCACCAAGGAACATCAACCGTACAGTGAACCCATTGAAAGGTTCAAGGGCTACACCTTATGACTCAGCAAGGGCATGTCTGTGGACAGAACTCTAAGGCTTCCAGGCCATATGCTGGGCAGCTTGTGTCTGGAACAAAGGAAGCACAGGCCACATGGCAAAAGACTATAAAAGGCAGCTGCATCTTCTCCATTTTGTCTTCAGTCCTGCTTCTTGTCTTCAGTCCTGCTTCTTACCTTTGGAGTAACCTTCCTACAAACGAAGCTCTGAACAAAGGACTGAATGACCCATCCAAGCTGTGGATGTGTTCCAGAGGGACTTTCAAGCCAGCAAACTCACCAATACTGCGAGGAACCTGATGGATTTTGAAGTCTTTGTACGTATGTGACTGTTTTACCATTTAACATCTCTCTCCTTATTCTTTCTTTTTTCTTTATAATAAACCTTTAGTTTTAGACACCAAAGGATTGGCTGGCAGCGTGGTATTTTGGGTAAGATCCAAACCTATACTGACCTGGTAACGTGGCTGTGACATTTTGTATATGTGAGCAGAGTTTTTTAAATAACTTCTCATTGTACTGGACCTAGGTGTTGACTGGGAGCCAAAGAATGGGAATGCAATAAAGGGGGTTGTGTGATTTCTTTTTTGCTTCTTGATAACCAGTGGGAGAGATCAGAAGCAGTTTGTAACTGGTTAGGGAGTTTGACTTCAGTGTTACCACCCAGGCTTGGGAGTATCTGCTCTCCCTTTGCAGCCTGCCCTGACCTTGGCATTTCCAGTGAGGCTGCCCTAGGCATCACGGGTCACACTCCCTTCTTGACCTTAGAGAGAAGCAGCCTGGCTGGGTAGCATGGGAAGCTTGCACAGCTGCTAGCCCATGGATAGCTCAATACTTGGTCCCCCAGGGCTGACCTGCCACCACCTTTCCTGAGGATATATCCAAACAAGACCCAACAGAGACACTGGGTGGCCGAAACAGGCTACTGTTTTGCCCACTATCTTGTGGGCATCACCAAGGGTGCTATTACCAGCTCCAGATCGATGGGAGACAGGACTCCCCACCATGAAAGTGTTGTGTCCCAGGTCCCAGCACTGGGAGCAGCCACTGACATGAACTCAGCAAAAGTGGGAGGGCAGAGCATGGAAAATATTTCCCTGGTGCCTCTCCAAGCAGGCTGTGGGGTCATGAAACATCTGCCCCAAGCCGGCAGGGTCCTGTTGACCAGACAGAGGCTGCCAGAAGAGGCCTCAGGACCATGAGTGCAGAAGGCAGGGAGTCTGTTGCGGGCTGGATGGATGCCCCCTCAGGCTGCGTTGAAGGAGTGATAGAAAGCTCTGGCCATGACTCACTGGTGGGGCCAGTTCCCCATTGGCGATTATCTTGGCGATCAGCTCCCACTTCCTGTCGCTGGTGGCATGGTGGATCAGCTGGTTGCGCAGGATCTCACCCACCAAGATGCAGACAAAGCCGAAGTGGGAGGCCATCTTGGTGCTTTGAGTGCCCTTCCCGCTGCCAGGGCCCCCTGCCAAGAAGAGAAGGTCAAAGAGGCATCCATGCCTGAGCATCCCCAAGCGTTGGCCAAGAGGCTCTTTCCTTGCCCTGCCAAGGTTCTCCCCAAGGGGTACATGTGTGCAAGTAAGTTACCTACTAGCAGCTCAGGAAAAACTCAAGTGGTAATTGCTGTGTTCTTCGAGCAAGAGAACACGGGTTCTACTCCTGGTTCCCCAGATACTTATGGGATTTATCAAGCACCTGTTTCTGTTGTCTGCAGCATGCGCATTCAACACAGAGGTGCCAGGGTCAATTCCCCAATATGGGATTAACCAGCTTTGGGTTTCTTCACTGAACTGATGAAGGAGCCTCTGATAAGGCAGCTGAGTTCCCACCATTGAATACTAAGGCCTGGTTCTTCTCTCACCTACACTAGTGTAAATCAGGAGGAAACCAGTGGAGTTTCACCGATGTAAGTGTGGGGACAAGCTGGCTGCAGACATTAAAGGGGTAAGAGGCCATTTCCCCCAAAATAGCTACGCTAGCAACAACATATATAATGGAGACAACAACCAAACGCCCTCCAAACTCATCAGGAATGGTGGGGAAACAGAGGAGAAGAAGCCATCCTTAGGGGAATAATGATCCTTCTCCAGCGCCTCCCATTCCAGGATCTCAAAGTGTTTAACACATATTTATGAATGAATCCTTTCCAGCCCCCAGCAAAGCAGCACAGCATTATGCCCATTTTACAGATGTGGAAACTGAGGCTTGCAAATTGTCCTCTTCCTTAGTATGTGGCTGTCTAATAGGGAAACCGCTGGAGATTACAGTATGTTTCTTCATTTGTCTCTCATCTCTATCTCCCCATCCTTCCTCTGCCTCTCTTCTCCCCTCCCTCTCGCTCTCCCATGCTCACTTATTCTTCCGCCTCTCCCCAGAGGGATTACCCAAACTGCACAGCTCATCCTACAGCTGCAGGAAAGCAAGTTTCTCACCAATCACAAAGATGATTTTGGGGCGGGGTCTACTGGGGTTGAAGACGTCATACTCCTGGATCAGTCCAGTGGACTCTGTCATGTCCGAGTCACTCTCGATGGAGAACTGGCTCTGGATGGGCGGCAGACACCCATACCGGCGGTATGGCCCTGCAAGGGGGTCTGTAGGAGAAACCAGGGGCAATGCATCAGCTGCAGTGGACTGCACACGGCCCACTCAGGTGGTTACAGTGCTGATACACTGAGGAGCTGACCTGAGTGGCACATAGGGATATAGGTGTGAACACATGGATGAGCCTGCTAAGGTATGCATGCAGCTGAGCAACAGGTATGTGTCCGGGCATGTGCAGGTGCACACAAGCCTGTGCCAACCCATGGGCAGACGTGCTCACGCTTGTGCACTGGGATCTGTGTGCATTTGCACGTACTCAGGCCCCTGAGAAAGTTTGCCCACAAGCAGTCCTGCCCCTGATCCCCCCTCACTCTGAACAGACACCAGTTCAAGATGCAGCTCACCTGTCCAGAAAATGGGTTTCTTCCCTTGCCCGCCATTGATGGGGGGTAAGGTCCGCCGCTCCTGGCCAATGAAAGTGTCCCATTGCACCTTCTCGGGACCACCCAGCTCCCGGACCTTCTGCAAGCAACGCTCAAGGTAGTCAATGGGGTCCTCAGGGTGGTAATACATCAAGCCTGTTAGCATGCTCTGGGAAGGAAGCAGACACAGGTCAGACAAGGTGGGGTGAGAGACAGCAGGGAAAAGAGAGGGAGAATTGGGGGGTGAGATTCTGCAGAGCAGGGGCAGCAATGAAATCTGTGGAGTGCTGGAATCACCTCTGCCTGTTCTTGTTGGAGAGCTTCATGGTTCTGGTGTACTAGGAGGAAGGATGGAGATGAGGGAGGCGCTTGTCCCTCCAGGAGCCTAGCAGGACATCATAGCCCAAGTCCTGGCACGTGTTTATGCTCAGAGACTCACGCTTTCATTACACTGGTGGGTGCCGTGGTTTTACTGTGCTCGACATCTGCATATGTTGCAGTCCAAGGAGACAGTGAGCAAGGCCTGGCTGTGCTCAGGGGTGAGGGGCCACCTTCCTCTGAAGCCTTTGGTACTGATGGCTGCAAATACCTGACACTGGGCTCGCTGGACCATAGGGCTGATCCAGCCTGTCACACAGAGCTAATGATCCTGGCCCACCCTGAGGAAAGGTGCTATCACAGCTCAGCGTCCAGGCCCCTCTCTCCAGCACTGGTACACCACGTTCCCTCTGCTTGCTGGCAGCCAGCACCGTGTAGCCTCCACTGTTACAGAACCTGCTCTCGCAAAGCACGGTCCTGCGGGGCCTGCTGAACTGAGCCATGACTCACCTGCCATATTCTCCATGCTAGCGCACAGCCTCCGAGCACAGAGACATGACTGTATCGCCTCCACTGCCAGCCCAGAGGCACAGCTCCAGCACGTTGGCTGTGGGTCAGATTCTGCCACTCACGCCATGGAAGGAACTCAGGAGAACAGTGGAATAAGATTCTACTTGGTGTGAGTGACGGTGGTGGAATCCAGCCCTAGTTTATCAGTGCTTAGCGGAGCAGGGATCCTTAAAGCACTCTGCAAATATTCACTAACAAATCCTCTTATCAGCCTGCTGAGGCAGGTACCTACAGAGGAAAGAAGTGAAGCATAGAGAAGTGACCTGGCTTGCCTAAGGAGGCAAAGGGCCAATAGAAGAGGTAGGGAAGAGAACCCAGGTGTCTGGATTCCCCTGCTCCAACCGCTCAGCTCACCTGTGTCTCTCTCAGTGTGTGGTATCAAGGGCTGCTAGCCCTGCAACACCACTGCATGACGTTCCCGGGGGTAACCAAGGAGCAAGAATGAGAGACAAGTGCCGTCTCTGAGCCACAGGGTCTCCTACAGCCCTGTGGCCCAACGGCAGCAAAGTCCAGGGGGACTATTGTGCAGGTGGGAAGATCACCTGCTTTGATTCCCACTGGGGCTGGCGCTGCTGGCAATGTTGCTCACTTGTTATATTAATGAGTGACAGCTCGCTCGTTTCCACATCAGTGTTTGCTAACAGCCATGATGAGAAGCCGCAAGCGCCTCAAACCACTCGAAGCAGCTAGGAACAAAATGTGGGGCGGGGGGGAGCACGAACGCTCCAGCCCAGCCATGGGAACAAACAGCCTGTGTTGGGGGAAGAGGGGTGCACCTGGTAGGATCAAAGGCAACTGCAGGGGATATGAGTGCCATGGCTCCTTTCAAAGCAGCTGCTTCAAAGCACCGTTGCATGAGAGAGCATAGGCCTGGGAGCGGTGAGTGCTCCAGGCTGGGAGACAGAGATTTGCATGTTGCTATGGGCCCTGTCCGGAAGTGTCTTCTGCCATTGGAGAATAATAAATCCTTAGCTCTTGTCTTCAGGCAATCGCCAAGAGCTCGGCAAAGATTTTAGAGTCGCAAATGTTAGGGCCAGAGAGATCATTAATCACCCAGTCTGTCTTCCCTCCTGTAGGAGCCAGGCCAGAGAAGCTCAGCCAGTTACCCCTTTATTGTGCCCAATAACCAAAGCACATCTTCCAGGAAGGTGTCCAGTCTTGTCTTGAAAACCTCACCAGACGGAGAACCCACCACTGGCCTGGTAGGTTGTTCCTATGGTTAATCACCCTCACTGTTAACATAATGGTGCCTTATTTCTCCTCTAGATTTGTCTGGCTTCAGCCTCCAGCCACCCGCTCTGGAGGCTCTCTGTGCATTCAAGGGCCCGTTAGGGCCTGGGATTTTCCCTCTGGAAGTCCCTATACGCTGGGAGCCAGGCTCAGAGAGGGGAAGGGACTCGCCCAAGGCCATGGAGAGCATCAATGATAGAGCCGGGAAGGGCACTCGGGGGCTCCTGCATGGGAGCTCCAGGGTCAGAAGAGCCCCGCCCCTTCACGCCCTTGCACTGAGAGCCATGTTTGTGGGGGGCGGAGGGGGTGCTGCACTCATACATGGCTTGGACTGAATGTTTTTCTACAGGGTCACTCTTGCTGGTAAAAAGGGAGAGAGGGGAGAGGGCACACGGTGAGAGAACAGGGAAGGGGCCCAGGGATATGAGGGGAGAAGGGACTAGGGGTGCTGCTGGAGGGCATGGTATATGAGGGGAGGGGAGTAGTATGAGGCTGTTGGAGGCCTTGAGGTATGAAGGGAGGTGGAGGGGAGGGATGTAGATGGACGGTGGCAGGGGACAGGGGCTGTGAGGGGAGGTATAGGAGAGGGTGGAAGGGGACAGGGGGTGTGAGAGCAGGTGGAGGGGAGGGATGTAGATGGATGGTGGCAGGGGACAGGGGGTGTGAGGGGAGGTGGAGGGGAGGGTGGCGGACAGAGGTAGGAGGGGAGGGATAGCTGGAGGGTGGCAGGAGACGGGGTGTGTGAGGGGAGGTGGAGGGGACGGTGGCAGGCAGGGGACAGGGGTATAAGGGGAGGGATAGCGGGAGGGTGGCAGGGGACGGTGTGTGTGAGGGGAGCTGGAGGGGAGGGTGGCAGGCAGGGGACAGGGGTATGAGGGGAGGGATAGCAGGAGGGTGGCAGGGGATGGGGGTTTGAGGGAAGGTGGAGGGGAGGGTGGTAGGCAGGGGACAGGTTTATGAGGGGAGGGATAGCGGGAGGGTGGCAGGGGACGGGGTGTGTGAGGGGAGGGATAGCAGGAGGGTGGCAGGGGACAGGGGTATGAGGGGAGGGATAGCAGGAGGGTGGCAGGGGACGGGGGGTGTGAGGGGAGGGATAGCAGGAGGGTGGCAGGAGACAGGGGGTGTGAGGGGAGGGGAGGGTGGCAGGCAGGGGACAGGGGTATGAGGGGAGGGATAGCAGGAGGGTGGCAGGGGCGTGGGGGTGTGAGGGGAGGGATAGCAGGAGGGTGGCAGGAGACGGGTGTGTGAGGGGAGGGGAGGGTGGCAGGCAGGGGACAGGGGTATGAGGGGAGGGATAGCAGGAGGGTGGCAGGAGACAGGGGGTGTGAGGGGGAGGGGAGGGTGGCAGGCAGGGGACAGGGGTATAAGGAGAGGGATAGCGGGAGGGTGACAGGGGACGGGATGTGTGAGGGGAGGTGGAGGGGAGGGTGGCAGGCAGGGGACAGGGGTATGAGGGGGAGGGATAGCGGGAGGGTGGCAGGAGACAGGGGGTGTGAGGGGAGGGGAGGGTGGCAGGCAGGGGACAGGGGTATAAGGGGAGGGATAGCTGGAGGGTGACAGGGGACGGGATGTGTGAGGGGAGGTGGAGGGGAGGGTGGCAGGCAGGGGACAGGGGTATGAGGGGAGGGATAGCGGGAGGGTGGCAGGAGACAGGGGGTGTGAGGGGAGGGGAGGGTGGCAGGCAGGGGACAGGGGTATAAGGGGAGGGATAGCGGGAGGGTGACAGGGGACGGGATGTGTGAGGGGAGGTGGAGGGGAGGGTGGCAGGCAGGGGACAGGGGTATGAGGGGAGGGATAGCGGGAGGGTGGCAGGGGTACCGTGTGAGGGTTGGTGAAGGGGAGGGCAAGGCAGGGGCACGGGGTATACGGGAGGGGTACACGGGGCATGGAGCTGGGGAGGGGAGGGGTTACCGGGGCTGGAGTCTGGGGTACCCGGGGCTCTCTGCGCGGAGAGGGCTGGAGCTGCCCCCGGGACCGGGAGAGCCTGGGACCCCCGTCCCTTCCCTGGGATCTCCCAGCGCAGAGCGGGGCGCAGCCCCCCAGCTCCCAGGGCCCGTCCCCTGCCCCCGGCGCCCCCGCCCCTCACCTCGAAGAGCTGCGGGATCGCTCCCCGCTGGAGATAGTCCTTCGCCTCCGCCGTGGTCATGCTGCAGCCCGCATTGCCGGCCCGGCTCCTCCCGCGGGCTGGGGCAGGAGGAGCCGCGTCCTCCCTCCTCCCCTGCGCCTGAGGCTGTGACAGGCGCCCCCTCCCCTCCTGGGCACCGGGCTGCAGCGAGGGTCTTGGAGGAGCGGGGCTGGGAGCTGCAGGCTGTGGGGCCGGAGCTCTAGGATCTGGGGGGTGGCGGCCCGGGGTTGGGGGCTGTGGCTGCAGGCTCAGGGAGGGAAGGGAGCTGTCTCTCTGGAGGGACTGGGGGGGCTACAGGTTGTGGGTCCAGGGCTGCAGGATCGGAGTTGCGGGGGGGCAGGGGGATATGCAGGCTGTGGGGCTGTGGGCTGCAGGCTGGTGGATCCAGGGCTGCTGCTGGGGGGAGTGGGAGAGAAGGGAGGGACAGGTGCAGGCTGTGGGTCCAGGGCTGCTGCTCGGGGAAGTGGGAGAGAAGGGAGGGACAGGTGCAGGCTGTGGGTCCAGGGCTGGGGGCTGCAGTTCTCAGCAGGGCACATGGGAAGTTAGCCACACTTTGCACACACACACCCCCCCCCCCGGCCATGGGAGGGCAACAGCCCAGGTGTGGGGATGGGAAGGGCCTGGGGGAGAGGAGAGCAAGCCCAGCCCCCCCCCCCCAACTCGGAGAGCAGGGCCATATCCTCACTGCAGGCCTAGGGCAGACATGAGGGGACGAACACGGGACCTGCCATGAAGCCACTAGAAATGAGGCACTGGTTCGAGCAGCTGAGAAGGCGAGTCTGGCAGACACACGGGTGCTCCTGACAGCCGCCGAGAACCAACTGCAATAGAGCCAGAAGCTGCCCTCACAGGGCTGGATGAAAATCACCTGGCCTCTCACCAGGGTCTTCTGGCTGCCATCATCCGATCAGCTCTCCAGCAGGCTGTGGAGTTCAGGAGACAAGGACCTTGACTTTCTAGGTGAAAACACAAGCAGACACCACCACCACCCTTGTCTCTTGACTGGAGGGGTCCCTTTTCAGGCCTTTTTCCTGCACCATAAGGAAGCAAAGTCAGGTCTATTTCGGTTTAGCTTTGCGGCGGCAGCCCTGATCCTGCCCTAGGGCCAGCACCAGCATCACTATCTCCCAGCCTGAAGCCGCACAAAAAGGACCCCAAAATAGCCACAAATACACAGGACTTATTATGTATAATGAGGAAGTATCTAGAGGCCTCAGGCCAGGATCAGGCCCCACCTCACTATGCTGCACCCATACACCACCAGGATGGCCCCTTCCCAGACAACGTGTGGTCTGAGTAATCAGTCTAGTGTCACTTTACCTGTGGGACCCTTGGGACTTGAAATCCTGATGCTGGACTAGTCAAATTAGGAAGGTGTGTATATAGCAACTATGGCTTAGCTTTACAATTTAACTGCTTATTTCGGGGGGAGGAGTGTCTTGTTTTGTTCAGATTTTGCCAGGGCCCCGGCTTTTTCTCTCTCTATTTATCTGATGCCCATCACGCATATATCTGGACAACTCCCCCCTATCAATAGATGTATCCTCCCAACGCACCTGAATGACACGGAAGGAGTATGAGCCCCATGGCAAACTCACAAGGAGATTAAGGGCTTTCCCCTATAAGACCTTTCTTCCTTCCACTCTACCCACTGTCCTAGCAGACCCAGAGCGGACACTGCGGTTGGGAACCTCCCACCACTGCACACTGTGCTGGACGCTGCTTTTCAGCAGCATTCACACTGGAGACCTCGAGAGGACGACCTGGGAAAGAAGCTCGCTGTACTGTAGAGCCAGCTCTGGCACTGCTGGGGGGAAGTTCACAGTGCTGGCTGGCGAGAGGGCACAAAACACTTTAATGAACCAAGTCCGTTCCACTATTACCAGGAGCTGTCACGAGGCAGGGCACCCTCTCTGAGGCCTTGGAATGATACAAGATCCAAATTCACAGAAACATGGCGGCTAAGATCATAGTAATATTTATTCCCCTACAAATCATTACAAAACATTCACTCCTTGCTGGCTTGACAGACAATCCCAGATACAGGGGGTCACTCGGAAGCAGTACCACAAGTCAAGGCTACCAAATGTGTTATGTTGACACTTCACGGCAGCTCATGAGGATCTGGGCCTCCGTGCTGAGTGAGAGGACCTGCAGTCAGAGAGGACCTGCCCCTGAGCTAAGGATCTGGCACAGAGCGACCTTTCTCCTTTAGCCTGCGCCTTCTTGTACTTTGAACCTCTTAAAGGGGCTCTGGCAGGCTCAACAACTAACACTTTGACATTGGTATAATCTAACGAGGCCATAATAAACCTTTGCACACCATGTACGTGAGGATCTCACACAGTGAATTAAGCCGCACAATGCCCCGGTGAGCTATATTACAATCATGACTCCCGATGGGAAACTGAGGCACAGGGAGGCTGCACTGCAATTCAGCTGCAGCTTCAAGAACAGAATCCAGGAGTCCTGTCAGGCTGCGTCTGAACATAAGCCAACTGGATTCTTAGTACCCTGTTTGGTTTTTTAAATCCATAACTCCACTGCTGAAAAATTGATGAAAAAAAAAAAAAGCGAGTAGTCACGATCTGTGGATCTACAAGCAAAACATCACCTTCCTCTGGCTGCCTGCACAGCAGCAGGAGAGAATGAACAAATGCTTTTCCCAGTGCTGCTGGGACCCCATCCCTGCAGCTCCTGTACAAAAGAAGGATGTTGCGGTCAGATAAGGTGCCCCAGAGGTGAATGCTGCTGCTAAATCAAGAGGCAGCGTTGACATTCATTCAAAACACTAGAAAATGTCCCTGCTTGCCAGCTGGGAGAGGATGGAGCTGGGAGCGGAAGAAATTGCATTGCCAAGTTCTTCCACAGCCCAAGCAATGGGGGGAGGGGAAAAAAAGCAAACTTCAGCACCCCATTCAGTTGCATTGCTAGTTACTTTTATAGCAAACGTCTCACATGAAATGGTACAACCACATGCTGTTATGTTACCATCCAGGTGTTTACATCACGCTTTCTATTAAGGTTCCATTTATAGTTTATAACGGGTTAATAAATGATTAACAGATGTTCTCATAAATGGCTAATCCATGGTTATTAGAGAGCCTAATGGCTTGCTTATAACGAGGGTTCATTACCATATATATGCCTTCTACCGCTGTGTTTCTAATTCATGCTACTCATATATGTAACAGGCTTCTAACATCTATTCATCATGTATTAACCTTTTATAAATGCAACCTTATATTCAAGAGTGACTGATTTTTATAGGAGCTACCCGAACGAGCGACTTGACAGTTCTGTTCAAAGGATCATTCACAGAGTGGTTTAAGTGGATCAGCTGTTTACAGAAGCCCAGAAGAGTAGCAGCAGAGAGAAAAGCATACCAAAAGGGGATCAACCCTAGTTCCTTTACTGCATTCTACAGAACCCTATCGGGTTTTGCAGAATTTGCCAGGGCAGTACAAGATGTACAACTGGGCTTTCCAGAGGGTCCGAAACACATTAGGGGAGCAAGGCATCTAACAGCATTAGATCCCTTTGAAGGCATGGCCTGGTACACAGGGGTGCTGAGCACCCATGACTCCCAGATGTAGATGGGGGTCAGACTGGCAAGCCAACATCAATGGAGCTGCAGGTACCAAGCACCCAGCTGGGTTTGCCTCCCAGCCTCCTTATCTCACCCTGCTTCTTGTGCAATTTTAAAATATATTAACCTATTTTAGGAAACCAATACAAATACAAGGACCAGGAAAAAAAAAACCCACTCCCCCCAAAAAACATCTCAACAGTGTTGCTTTGAACACCCGACAGGTCCTGGCTATGGTGGGAAAGTAGCAGCTCCACAGCCTTCCCAGAAGGGTAGCCAGGACTTCTCCACTGGCTGGGGAGTCTTTTCCAAAGCTGCATCCTCCGGGGTGGCAGTGATGTTCAGAATAGGTGTTCACAGCCGGCGCCACATTGCTGGGCACACTTTGCTTCCTGTGTCCTGAATATCAGGGGTCACACGATGCTCAGTCACACGGGTGTAAATCCAGAGCATCTCCACTGACTGTAGTAACCAAGAGCATGGTTTGTTCGTATCAGCGGATATGGATTTGGCTGATCTTCTGCAGGGTGGGGGGAGAAATGGCATGTCCCCCAAGGGACATTTGTAAGTTTCAAGGTCCCCTTCCCACCTCCTTGCCATCACACTCCTGCATGTGTTCCCCTCCCAAAGTGCAGGGGGAGAGTCACCTCTTGCAATATCAGCCATGGTCAAGATGACTGAACAAGGGTCATTCCCACCTGTGGGTGTCAGAGTAAGCGGGGGATCTGCTCCCAGCTCACACAGCCACGATACAATTCCACTCCAGGGGTGCATGGACAATGTCTCTGCTGCACGGAGGCGTGCACCCATTCAACCCCCCGCGGTGGAGCACAGAGCTGATGGTTTTTCCTCCAGCACGTTTATCAGTCACACCCTTGTTTTCAAAGAAAACGCTGCTGTATTCTACAGGCACGGGGCTGGATTCTGACCTCATTTTCTCTGGTTCAGCTTGAGCAGGCTGGCTGCTGATTCACACTGGTCGGCATGGGATCCAAGTCTGCCCCTGCGCTGTAACCAGTTCACAATCAGGTTACTCCAGGGTCCAATCCTGCAGCCCTGCCCCAGACAAAAGTCCCACTAGTTGCAGAGGGGAGTTTTGCCTGAGTGAAGATCTGGCCCACCGTGATTTGGGCTGTTACTATAAAAGACTGCAGTATTTTTATTTTTATTTTTTTTAACTTGGAGATTTTCAGCAGCTATTGCCGAGGACCAGGAAAGGACAAAATCCAACCTGGTGGGTGACTAGAAAGCATCTGATGGCCCCACGCTGAAGTGCACTTTTCATGGAGCCCCTGAATTGCTGGGGAAGGCAGAGAGGGGAAGAGACCATGAGAAATGGGAGAGGTGGGATGGGGATGTGAGAGCAGGAGAGAATGGGAGTAAACACAAGGGGTCCAAATCTATTAATCTAAATCCACGACTCTGTATTGTCTGCACTTTGTGCTGTCATTTAAGAGCAGGTTAGACAAACACCTTTCAGGGATGGTTCAGATAATACTTAGTCCTGCCATGAGTGCAGGGGACTGGGCTAGATGACCTCTTGAGGTCCCTTCCAGCCCTGTGATTCCCCCCAGAACAGAGTAACACCAAACCATAACAGGAGCACTTCACACCCACTCTACCCTGAGGAAACAGGCATCAAGCCTAAGGCTGCATCTACACTAAGAACAGAACCATATCTGACTGACACCCACACACGATCCCCTCAGCTGTGCGTGTACACGGAAGAAGCCATGTTCAGCAAGCACAGAGCGGAGACCCCTGCCATGCAGTCGTGGTCAGTGCTTGCTGTCCAGTCTCAGTGCCTTGATTTAAGGAACTCTCAGTAACCTGAGGCATAACAGACCCAGCGGCAGGGATCAGAGGCAGCCAGGCAGAACAGCGATCAGACAGACAGAACTAGGGAGGCAGCTGAAAAGTGCCTGGCTCCTTGTAAGTCAATTCCCTCCAGCCCTGGGTTGAGATGCTGAGGGTATAACTTCCATATCCACAGTACTGCTGCCCTCTCTCTTACCACATGGCCACTTGCTCTCCCTGGGCAGATGTTTCACTGGCAAGGGGAGAGACGCAAGAGGGGTGGGTGGGAGGGGAAGCGCCAATGGCACCAGAAGCAGCAGCAGGAAAGCACATTCAAGAGGAACGGCCCTGAAAATGGTATGGAGAAGCCATGCAAACAGTGAGCCTAGCAAATGGCACTGCCTCTTGGCCACCAGCAGGGAGCACCATTGCCTCACGCTGAGAAAGGGCCAGGCAGTGAGCGCACCAGCAGCCCTAAGGTCTCTGCAGCAGGGACAGGAGAGCAGGACGTGCAGCCATGCAGCTGGGGGGCCGGGGGGGGTCACTGCTGTGTCCTGACTAGGAGTGGAGGAGGCACCGCAGCCCATGTGGACAGAGCTTGGGGTGTGGGGGGGGGGAGGTGAATAAACCACAGCCCCAGGCCTCCCAGCCCACTGGGGGCAGCCAGCGTGGCCAAGTGCCACCAAATCTGGGTGTCACAAGCACTGTTCCCTCTAAGCTGTGTGCACGCACCCAGCTCCGAAACCCCACGCACACGGCGAAACACCGCGCCCACAAAAATTTGCACAGAAGAAATTTTTTGCGCACACAGCCTGTCAAAAATTAGAGGGAACATTGGTCACAAGTGGGGTTAAAGGAGGGCAGTCACCGGCTGCCAGCCAGCAGAAGGGGAGCTAGGACAGCAATCGCCCTGGCACGCGGCTCTCAGACTGGGCTTTGTCCAGGGCAGCTGGTGATGCCAAAACAAGGAACCTCTCCAACCCCTGCCCAGTGCCCTCTACAGCTGGGGAAAAAGAAGCCCTTTTGAGACTGATACCCCCTTGTCCCCTAACACACCTCCTAATGACTGTCACACACACACACACACACCCCTTACTGCCTCCCAGTGACTGTGACACCCTCCATACCTCCCAGCAACTGTGACCTACACACCCCTCAATACCTCCCAGCAAATAACACACATACACACAGCACCCTCAATGACGGTGACAGCTCCCCTTCCCCCCCAACACCCCTCCCAGTGACCGTGACGCTCCCCAATACAACACCCCTCCCACACTCCACAGGGCATCCCTGTCTTAAGCAGCCACACAAGGGATCAGCCACAGGCAGCAGGGCAAAGAGTTCTCAGGGGAGAGTGGGCTCTGTCCTTGTCCCGTATGGGGGTCAGTGCTTGGACAGCCTGTTTAAAGATGTCTCATGCCCCCTCCCTAGCCATGCCTCAGACCCACCTGAGAAGTCTACCCCCTTGAGGCTGGTCTCTATGTAGGCCTCACTGGAAACCTTGGGGACGCAGGTGGTAGTTTTCCAAGGCAGAGGCTGCCTGGGGCAGGGTTGCACTGTACTGAAGATACAGCCTCCCGGGTTCTCAGTATCAGGCTGAGCCTAGCGGAGCTGAGAGGGTTACAGTCCTCCCATCTCGGAAATACGTTCTCCCGAAGCCAAGAGAGGTGAGACCAGAGACGCCACCCAGAGCGCTAAGAAGGGGTCAGCCGTTCCATCTGGGCAGCCAGTGATTATTTCCCACTCACTCTTGGGCCCCTGAGCTGATCGCTGATGGGGGAGCGAGGTGACCTCAAAGCAGGGAGCCAGCGATGTGCACGAGGTGTGTGTGTGGGCGGGAGCACCATGAACCCAGCAGTGCCCCGCGGGTAGCAACACTCCCTGGGCCTTGGGACTGCAAGTCGGGTCACAGGCACCATCCCAGTCCCTTCCTCCCCTCACCCAGTCCTTCTGGCCCTGGACAGTGAACCGGGGCAGCTTGTGGTGTGGGGCCTCCTCCCTCAGAGCCCAGCCTGGCTCACAGGGTTAATCCAAGAGATGTTTTCCCTTCCAGGTGAAGTTATCCCACGACTAGCACCAGTTGCTGGGCTGGGCACTCAAATGGCTCCATGTCTCCTCGGGGAGCCCTAGTCCCAGGCCGGGTGGGAGAAGGTGATGTTGTAGAGGCTGGCCCAGCTGGCAAAGACCTTTTTCTCCGTGATGAAGCGGTGGTGGTTGCCCTTACGGCTGCGCTCATTGTGGATGTAGGTAGTGCATTCGTCCGGGCCCTTGGGCTCGTAGTAGTGATATGCCATCTTGCCGGGCTGAGGTCTCCTGCTGCGGAAAACAGAGTTACAGGGTGAGCCGCTGGGGCGCTGCCAGCCGATGGCCGAGCGCTGGGATCCCGGGAGGGGCACCTGGTGGGGGTTGGGTTCTTACCTGCAGTAGTTAGGGGGGACCATCCCGTAAACATGCACCTTGTCACACAGCTCCACGGCAATCACCATGGTGAACCAGCCTGTGCTCAGCCACGACCGGGACTTCTCCCTGAGAAACGGGGAATGGCAGGGAGCCGGCAGAAGGAGAGGGAGAAAGAAAAAGAACAAGAGATGGACAGAGCAGGAAGAAGAGGAGGAGGAAGGGAATGCCAGGGGAAGAGTGATGAAGGAAAGGAGTGTAGGATGGTGGGGGGAGGAGGACAGAGAGTGACCAGTTAGGAGAAGGTGGGAGGACATTGAATTATATTGATGCCAAGTTCTTGAGTCTCCCATTTACCCCCCCATCCCCACCCCATTTCTGTTCTCCTGAGGCTCCCTACCACCCAAGCATGCTGGCTTCCCCTTCCCAGCTAGGGACCAGGATGTACTGCCAGGCAGGCAAGTGACTCCAGAGGGCAGTATGGCCTCTTTTCATGGGTGTGCATTGCGAGACAGCCCAGGTCAGTGGCACTGCAGCAGGGGCAGACAAATAGGATGGGCTGGCCAGCGAGGCTGGGGCTCCAGTCACCAGGCATGCGAATGGTACGCCTGAGGGAATTCTGCACCACTGCGCAACGCAGAATTTTGCAGAAATTAACGTTGTGCATGCAGAATTTCCTTTCCCCGCCACCGCGCCCCCCCGAAACGGGATGCAGTGCTGCTGGCTGCCACTAGGGGCCACTAGACCCACCAGAGCCCAGCTTGCACACAGAAGACACTGCGGCAGGGGTGTGGGGGGTGTGAGGCAAAGCGGGGCAGGAGGGAGCTAGAGGGTTCCAGCAAGCCTGGGATGGACCATCAGGCTGTTTCTCCCTATGGATCCCTGGGCTGAGGGGGCCATGGCTGGGCTTGTGTGTGTGTAGGGGGTATCTGGGCAAGGGGGGGGCCCGCAGCCGGGCTCTGGGGGGGGAGGGGTTGTGGGTGTCTGACCCCCTGGCTGGACATGCGTGGGGGGCGCAGAAGTGGGCAGAGAAACAGGAACTAGGTTGTCATAGGAGTTGCTTTAACTCTCTGCTCCTGGGGGAATTTGTGTGTGGCTCTGTATCGTTACAGACATACTTGCTGGCAGCTATTTTGAACTGAATTACCAAAATAATCGAAGCGGGCGTGATTATGTAGTGTTCTTCTGACTAATAAAATGTGCAGAATTTTAAAATACTGTGTGCAGGATCCGGAATTTGTTGGCACCGAATGCCCCCAGGAGTGGAATGGGAACGGGGCTCCAAGGTACCTGTCCTTCCCGGTCTCTCCCCGGAACAAGTCGTCGAACTGCTTCATGCGCACGGGGGAGACCACGTAGGCCGACATGCTGGGGAAGGACATGCTGACGCGCTGGAGAATCTTGAGCAGGCTCTTCTGCATCTTGCTGGGCGGACCCCAGAAGATGAGGATGGTCTCCGGGGTCTTGTTGACGAACTCCTGGGGCCCCTTCAGCACCCTGTAGATGCTGGAGTGAGCCACCACCCGGACCGTGGTCTTGTTGCCCACGTCTGCCTCGTAGCCGGTGGTGGGGGCGTCGTTCATGCGGATGGTGCACTCCGATTGGTCAATCTCTGAGCCCAGTTTGCTCCCAAGCAGGTGGCTGGAGCTGGTGATGATCACACACTGGTGGCAGTGGGAATTCAGGGTCTGGGGAAGAAACCATCATTAGCAAGGACCCTGTGGCCAACTAAGACCTCCCCACCACCATGACCCTGTGCACCTTCCCTGCTTAGAACGCCCAGGCGATGGAGAGAACAGAACCGAGACCCTCCTCCTCCAGAGACACTGGCCCCTGCCACTTGAGCTATCGGGGGTTCTCTCTGAGGTGACAGGAAATAGGGTTGTTTTTCGGATGCGGCACTGGGCTGGGACTCAGGAGATCTGGGGTCAATTCTTGGCTCTGTCAGACTCCCTGGGTGACCCTGGGCGGTCACCATCTCTCCGTGCCTCAGTTCCCAGTCTGTGAAATGAAGCCAGGAACGCTTCCTTTGTCAATTCAGACTGGAAGCTTTTTGGGGTAGCAAGTGTCTCTAAGTGGATGCACAGCACCTAGCACAACGGGATCCAGGTCGGAGAGCATTACGGTCACTCTAACAGCAATACCGGAGCTCTGGGTCACAGTTCTGGCTCCATGCGGCAGAGGGCAGTGCTCCACACTCACTGGCTAGTTCCCTACCATGCTGCCCTTTGATAAGCACCTTCTGTCCGAGGATCCCAACCTGCTTACCAGACATTCCCTAATGAACCCTCTGACGATGCCTGGGAATTACTGCCCCCATTTCACATATGGGCAAACCAGGGTACAGAGGGCCAAAGTGACTTGCCAAGGGCCGGTTAGTGAGCTGGACGCAGAGTCGGTCACAGAGTCCAGAAGACCTGATTCCTGGCTCTAAGCAATGGGTGGCGCTTTCATAATAGAAACACAAAGGTCCATTCTCCAACTGAGCTGCTGCAAATTGTATCATGTCGCCTCCGCTCCACCCCTCCCACTGGGCAGGGTGCAGCCGTACGGAGGCCAGAAAAGCAGCGGCCCTTCACGCTCCTAATGCACCAGCCTGCGATCGCGTGGCTCCTCCCAGTGATTTATAACCCAGCCCTTCCTTCCCGGTGTAAACCGCTTGCTGGGCTCACCCCCGAGACCTGGGACCCAGTCTGCGACGTGACCGCAGGGAGCGCCCCGGGCTCACCCGCGGTGGGCTGCGACCTACCTTGTTCCCGTAGACAGGGAGGTATCCACTTTTCAACCCCCATTTCTTGAGGTTGGGGGGATGGGGGGATTTCCCCCGCAGGGCAGTGTAGTGAAAAACTTCGTTCCCACTGTTCGAGCTGTAGATGATCAGCAGCATGATCAAAGCAAAGAGGACCACGAGGATTGCTGTGCGCTGGCCCTGGAGTGGGAAAAGGAGAGCCTGGGACTGAGACAGTGCTGCGTCTCCAAGTGCCCCGCCTTTCTGAAGGAGCCTGGGAAAGGGCAGCCGAGGGGACCGGCAAAGCTTCTGCAATGGTCTCCGATAAATGACTGAGAGACTACAGGCCTAACCCTCATGAACCTCATTCGTGCCCCCTTCTCCCTTACCCCGTGCCAGGAGCAGCAGCTGGGCAGGATTCCAGCCTACAGCTCCCACGAGCCTCAGATTTCAGGTGCCCAACTTAAAATACCCTGGGCGTGATTTTTGGAAGCACTGAGCCCCTCTGACCGTCAGGCCGCAGGTCTCCCACACTGTCCCCCACCCCGTCCCTCAAATCAGCGGTACCTGGAAAACGTGGCTCTCCATCCCTGGGGAGAAGGGGCATCTCCCAGCGGTCTCTAGCACCCCCGCTGTCTGTGACACCAGAGATCCCTGCAGCTAACACCACAGCAAAGGGCTCCAGAAGCACAAACACCCCCATGTTCTCTGACAGGCAGCCATGGCCAATTCCCCCCTCCCCAAGCTCTGCTGTGACACACAGACGGATGTCAAGGGAGAGTTTGGCAATGGGCAGCTTCTTAAAGGAATATACGTCCAGCTTTAATGAGACATTACCCCAAGCCCAGAAGCACCGGGAAGCCAGAGGCTGCTTTAAGCACTGTATCATTATCTATCATGGCCAGCAATTGGTCAAGCTTTTTGCCTCCACATGCTGGCTTTGTTTGGGATGTGGCAGCGAAGAGACCAGGAATGAAAGGGTTAACTATGCGTGTTGCAGGGTGATGGTGGGGGGGACAGGGACAGGAGGGGCGCAGGCCTGCAAGGGGTGGAATTAAGGCGGGGACAGGAGGCACCTGCAGCCGCAAGTGGAGCAATGAGCACGTGGGGGCAGAGGAGAGGCTTGGGCTGTGGCTTGTCCTGGGTTAAATGGGAAGATCCCAGCAGGGAGGCCAGCTAATGAGACAGCTGTGCAAAGAGACCGGCCCTGCAGCTTCCAGTCTGCCTCTGCAGCAGTGTGCTGGCCCCATTACAGCAGGCCCAGTCGCATCAGAGCTTTCATTACAAACTCCATGGAAAGGGCGGGGACCTTATTCTGAAGGTATTTATCACAGAGTGTGGACGGGATCCCGTCCCATGCCTTAAAATAAACCACATCTCACAGAGCCAGTCAGAGATAGAGGGAATCTGGCTGATTTTGAGTTTATGAGATTATCCTGCCCCCAAATTAGAAGGGAGAGACACTCGTGCCTTCCTATAACCACCACCTCGCTTTACCCTGGTCTACTCAACCTAGCCCCTGGTGTAGACACAGCTCGGTCGATGGCGAAATGTTTCCTCTGACCTAACTGCCACCACCCAGGGAGGTGGAGTTCCTACAGTGACAGAAAAACCCCTCGGCTGCTGTAGGGTTATGCCGCGGTAACCCAGCTAGTGTAAACAAGCCCTTACACAGTGCCTGTCACTGGGGGACTTCAAAGCCCCTTTCAGAAGAGGCCAAAAGTTACCATTTTACACAGGAAAAAACTCATATTATGCAAGTCAATGGCAGAGCTAGGCACAGAACCCAGCAGTCCTGATTCCCAGATCTGGGTGCTAACCACTAGTCAATGCCACCCGAGGCAGAGGGGCCAAGAGTCAGTGCTTGTAAAGGGATTTTCCTGCAGAACGCTGCCAGGACCTCCTACCATTTATTATTCTAGTGTGGCTACTGCCCCTCTCTTTCAGCTTCATTACCACTTCTTTTTCCTACTCTCATTTTCTAGTCTCCTGCCTTGCCTCCTCCTTTTCTATTTGTAATTCAGGCCTTACTTTCCTACCTTTGGGGTTACTAGTTTCTTTGGCCATTTTATATAATTGCATTTGTTTTCCTTAGTTGGATACTTGGGCGGGAGGGTGTCAGGGAGCACAGTTAGCCTGATGCACTGTTGCTGGCCTAACGTTTCTACAGACATTGGTTCTTCTGCATGTTTTTTCTCCAATATTCTGTGTAGGAGTGAATTCTTCTCAATCATCTCATTATTCCCTGGTGCTCTCTCATTTGTCTGTCATCCATCTGCCACCTCTCATTGCATGGTTCGAATACCAACTCAGGGGCAGAGACTATCTTTTTGTTACACGCGAGTCAAACACCTACCACAACGAGGCCCTGCTCTCCGATTGGGGCCCCTAGCCATGACCTTAAGCCAAATAATTTCTGCATGGATGGACCCAATTGCAAGACAGGGATCTTCGCTGTTAGTTTGGTCCACGCAGGAGTAAAATCTTGTTGAAGTGGACGCGTAGACGTTTGCTGTGCTTATGAAATCTAATGCAAGTAGAAATGTTGTTTTTTCTTTTAAATTCAAAGAAAACAAGTGGATTTAAAAAAACAATTCAACATGCTCCCCCCAGAACCATGAGCACAGACAACATTATGCCAGTGCCCAGAGTTGAAACAAAAGTGAAATAGACCAGGCTGCCTTCCCCATCCAAGTTCTGTGAAAGGTAAAAAAAAAAAAAAGTGAAGCAGCAGCTTAAACGGACACAAGTAAGCTTTTCAAAGTTCCGGGTTATATTATTAGCAAAAGAGGAAAGGACACTGGTTTTCAAAGGCAGCATATGGCCCTGCCTCCTCCCCCCGAGTTACACGCTGCGGGGCAGGATGTGGTACTATGAAGCGTTCAATATTGGACGAACTCTGCTCCCAGTGGTAATTCCCACTGGCTTCCATGGCAGCCGTTAGGCCAGCGTTGAACACTTCTGAATATCCCTTCGTTATGCTGAGCGTCTCTTTGACCTGTTGTTCTCTCACATATTTCTCTAATACCTGCTGATCACCGGGGCTACTTGCGTTGAATCTCGGCTTTCCCCCTCCCAGCCTTAGATTCAGCTGCAGAGGGGGAGGGGGGGCACTTTGTCTCAGATACGTGCCCATCTGTCCCCTGGGCAGATTACCCGGCCTGCAGATCACACCAAACTCATTTATTTCACCTGTTCTATTTGTCAGTGTTTCTTGGGCCCTCTCCCCACAGTGCCTCCTTCCTCATGCGAGCTGGGCACCCTGTGTAGTTACTGGGTTCCTCCTTGTGCCAGATTTGTGGGAACTGCCTGGATATGTGGCTGCTTTGTATTCTAGGCCTCACATTTGGTTGCTACTGTACAGTGCTTAGAGGTGCCTTGTGAACAAATTACTTCGATAATCCATAGAAGTCAGCAACCACAGCACACTGCCCCAATCTCTGTGCACCGGTGACTTCTCTTCTTTGGCCTCCTTTTTGTTGACACTAAAATCTGTCTTGTTGATTTAACCGGAAGTCAGCCAAGAAAAAGAGAGTGAATTCCTTGATACGTCAGGAGGGGATGAGACGAGACAGCTGCTGTGCAGCTGGTCGGTGAGTACTAAGTTCAAACCCAATGTTCTTTCTCTGGCATCACTTGGCTGATTTCACCTATTTTTTAAAAACTAAGTAAAATGATTTAGAACCACCAGGATACACCAGAATGTGCAAAAGCTCCCTGGGTAGCAGCCTGATCCTATTTCCTCTACCCTTGTCCTCGCCTCTCCCAGTCTCTCCTTCAGGGCCCGATCCAAAGCCCACTGCCACTGAAGTCAATGGAAAGAGTTTTTAGATCAGATCCCGTTTGACACACTCACTTCAGGACAGGGCCCGATGACACCTAGCACAGCAGGGCCTCTTGGGCACTACAGAAAAATACAAATAATAAACAACAACTACAGGCCTGACTCAGCCAAAATTTCCCATGAAGCAGACAGGAGCATTGCCTGTGCAAGGACTGAATACAGGCACTGAGATACCCAAGTGATGAGGGCTGGCTGGAAAGAAGGGGAGAGAGATGGAATAAAAACCCTGAGTAGCACCTTCATAATTTGGCCTGGAATAAGACCCTGGGGAAAGTTTAATCTAGTTCTTATCTAGATTTTCTCTTCCTCTCTTAGGCTCACTAAAACGCTGAAGAAGTGTTTTTTTTACCCACAAAAGCTTATGCCCAAATAAATCTGTTAGTCTTTAAGGTGCCACTAGACTCCTTGTTGTTTTTGTGGATACAGACTAACACAGCTACCCCCTGATACTTAAAACATTATTGTTCACACTCACAACAACCTCACAGCCACGATTCAGCATCAGTCACCACTAGATCATGTGTCAGAAACACCTGTCACACAAAACATCAGTGCTCAGCATGGAGGAAAGAGAACAATTGTTTGTGTGTGTGTGTGGGGGGGAAAAACAGACAACTCATCCTCCAGTCCTTTAGATCCTGGATTACGTTATGGCAGCAAGTCATACAATCCCCTGTTGGAATAGGAGGCCTGATCTTTAGGCAAAAGTCCCCTGCAGGAGCAGGCCCCAGAGGTGCCTTCCTTGACTGGAAACTAACAAGGGCTAATAGGCTATGGAGCAGCACAGGGACCCAATAGCCCAGCCGGCTATCAACAACCTGCCAGCTGCCTTCTGCTCCAGGAACCTCAGATGGATCTTAGCCAAGATTGCGTTTTCTCCTCCCTTGTACTTAATTTGTTTTCAGGGAGACTGAACGTCAGGGCAAACACTCCTGGGTGAGGTTTATTCACTTCCCTGCCCTCTTTCCAGTGAAATCTCAGCTGGATTTCATGGTGCATTTGAAAACAGGGCAGCCCAGTAACCTGGAGCTGGCAGCTAATGAAATCCAGCTCCCACAACAGGGCAGATGCAGGTTACCTGGCTACTATTTCACCATGACTTCAGGGTACAAAGATTTGATATGAATGCTGCTACTTGGTGCGCCTGCTGTGAGCAGTTGAGAATGCACAGATCTCCTGGAGAGGAAAACCACTCAGACATCTTTCCTGCATGGCCTCATCTGCACAGCACGTCTCAAACATGAGTGAGTCAGTCCTCATATCAGGCTTGAGAACAGAATCAGTGACATTAGCCCTGTTTTCCAAATGGGTAAACTGAGGCACTGAGCTCTTTCGTATAGGGGCTGAGTCTATGTGCAGCACCCAGCACAACTGGGGCGTTGATCCCAACTGGGGCTTCTGAGGGCTACTGTAATTAGCGTTAAATAACTGAATAATAAGAGGTTACGGCCAATCTTTTCAAAGGTGGCCACTGGGTTTGGGTGTCCAACCTGAGTCACCGTGGGCCTGAGTTGTAGAAGGGTGGAGCACCTGCAGCTCCGGCCGAAGTCAAGGGGAGCTGTGGGCGCTCATCAGCACTGAGCAAAGGACCCTGCATGTCTCGAGGTGGAGCTGGGCACCCAAAGCCAGAGGCTGTTTTTGTAGATGTTGCCTCCAGTGACTGCCCAAGCTCATGGCTGGGATTAAAACCCAAGAGCCCTATTCTCCCACTGCAGGACACAAGGCCCCACTGGGCATCAGGGAGAGTTTCTCCTACCCCATAGCCACAGGGCTGCCTGGGGCCCAGAGCAGTTTTCAGACTGCTATCACTAGTGGGCAGAATACAGGAAAACAGACGCAGATGAACATACACGGTCCTGATGGAGCGGAGGGCGAGGCTGGCTGGGTGGGAGAGAGTCATCCCTCATGTCAAAGGAGTTCCACCAGAGCGGGGGCTGGCCAGCAGACTTACTAGTGTGGGGAGTGGGGGAAGGAGGGAACGGGGGGGAGTGGGGAGGGTAACAATGCCCGGAGCAGTCGAGGAGCGGAGGGCAGGGCAGTGGCGGAGTAAGAGATGAACGCTGCAAGGCTTGGAGAGAAAGGTCAGAGCTGGGGAACCTAAAACCAGGCAAACTCCGCTAATTCCCAGTTTAGTCACCAGTCTAAGGCTCTGGCCAGGCTCCCCGAGGCCCAGAGATTTTTAGTAAGCCCCAGAGGCTCCTGCTGTCTCAAGTAAGAGTCCTCCCCACAAAGCTCTAGCAAAAGCTTCAGGGTCCCCTCACATCTCCCATGAGATTCCCCTGTGCCTCATGGGAACCTGGGCTGATGCACAGATTCTGCTGGAAACCAGGCAGAGTCCCCCAGTTCTGCCCTGACTTGCGGTAAAGTCTGGAGGTTTCTCTTGAGACTGGGTCTGTTCAGATGCCCCCTGGGCCTCTGACCATGGGCTGGGACCCTCTCCCCTGGAGTCTGGTCCTCTGGTGAGATTTCTGCTACCTCCTGCTTCCATCAAGGCTGGAATGAACCACCCAGCGTTGCTGCAGCTCCCTCTTTCAAGAGCCTGGAGGACAGGACAGCAGGTCTTGGCTCAGTCAGGGCTGGCTTTCCCCAGTCCCGAGCGACAGGCTTGGCCGACCAGCCTGAGGAGCAAGGAACACCTACCTCTGGCTCCCTCTGTGACCTGGGGCTAGGTGGGTTTATTGGGGTTGTTTTTAAATCACGTACAGCCACAGGGTCTAGACGCCACGCTCCGAGGGTGAAGCACAGCGATTATGTACAGAGCTGCCCTGAACCCAGAGCACAAGCTGCCGCTGCTGCCCAGAAAAGAAACCGAAGCCAGTGAAAAATCACATTAACCTCCAACACTGTGCCAGGATGGTCAGCGAACCAGCTCTGGTAGATGGCCGAGCAGAACGAGCTCCAAAGGGGAGGAGGAAGCCCATGACACCCTCCGAGGGCCCGGAAGATGGACGCACGGGACCAGGACAGGAGGGCTGCTTCGTGGGGAGGACTTACCGTGTTGTTACTCATGTCTCTCTGCCAACCTTAGTGCGGAGCCTTCATCAGCATAACTCAAGTCCCTGCACAGAAACACAGAGGCATGGTCACTCTCTAAACTATCTGCCCCCTTCCTCGAATACAAGTCCATGGCTACCAATCTCCACCCCATCGTGCTCTGACCCGCATGACAGCACAGCCCAAACAGGTCAGGCTGGGCTGGGCGCACCTACAGGGCCGAACACACCACGTTGCTGCGTTGTGCTCTCCTGGCCTGACCCAAAGCCCGGCGAAGTCACTGCGAGTCTTTCCATTGACTGCAAAGAGCTTTGCATCAGGCACTCTGGCACCATGCTGCCTTCCCAGATGTGCCCATCTGCCCTGCCGCAGATCACAGCTCAGAGCCGTCTCTCAACAGCTCAATTTTGGATGTCACCATTTCCCCCCAGCCCCCTTATTTTGGTCTTTCATTGCCCTCAACCTGGGCTCTGCACCTAAATGGCCCTTTTCATGCATATTGCTCCCAGGCTGCCTTCTCCTTCTGCTCCATCTCCCAAGCACAGCCAGGTCCAAAGTTGAAGTACAGAGTCCTCTGACCCTAGTGTGGGTCTCCCACTCTCCCCACCTGCTGGGAAGCAGCCCCTCCTCCTACACCCTTTAATTAAAGCAGGGGAGGTGCAGGGGAACCATGCCACAGGGTGAAAGCTCAGTCACTTTTCTAAAGCGCAAGTCAGCCATGTGTTTAGTGCTCCTCAGACAGAGAGACGCCGTCAGCCCAGAACGGCTGCTGGTCACAGAGAGATCTCCCAGGAGGAAGAAAAGCAAGCGATGGTTTGTAAACTGGATTAGCCATACCTAAATCAGCTTACATAATGGGTCATTACAGTGAAGCACAGCAGGGGTCTGGGATCTAGGACTCCTGGGTTCTATCCCTGGTCCTGACACTTTGCGCAAGTCACTGGATCTCCTGGGCCCCAGTGGCCCCATCTGTAAACTGGGGAAAACAATAATATCTGCCAAAAGATGGGGGGAAGGGTTGAGAGACTTAATTTCATTATCAGAAGGGTAGCCATGTTAGTCTGGATCTGTAAAAGCAGAAGAGTCCTGTGGCACCTGACAGACGAACAGACATATTGGAGCGTAAGCTTTCGTGGGTGAATCCCCCTTCGTCACATGCAGCTGAATCTTCAGATTCCCCCACGAAAGCTCATGCTCCAATACGTCTGTTAGTCTATAAGGTGCCACAGGACAATTTGCCACTTTCACTTAATTTAATTAGTTAATGTTTGTAAAGGGCTTTGCAGTCCCCTTAGATGGAAGGCCCAAGAGATGGGTCAAATATTCCTCTGCTTAGTGAGCCGGCACGGATCTTCCGAACCGCAGGGGTTATGAGTCAGCTGCAACTCTCCTTCCTCAGCTTGTGCTGGAGAAGTGAGCTCAAGATCAAAACCAGTGTTTGTATAGCAAGGTCTTGTGCGAGGACAGCTTTGAAAACTCATCAGTCTCCCCATCACAGGCTCATTCCCTGGCAGGGAGGTGGAGGGAGAGGTCTCCTAAGGCAGCCTTCGGCATAAGCATGCCTCCCACCCCCTGGCTTATTACAGTGCGAACCTGCAGGCTGGTTAAGCTTTAGGAGGAGATTATTTTCCTGCCCAAAAAGCTCAGTAAAATCCATTCAAACAAATACCTGATCAAGGGCCATAAATCTGCTGGGGGACAATGTTTACCCATGATCACATCAACCAAACCTCTCTAAGGGGATTGCAGGCTCCAAAGATACAAAATCCCATTAAAACGAACACCTGGGAATGGAGCAAAGGCAGCCGGCCACCTCTCCCAGGGCTCCCACAGGGTTTTACATGGGTGGAGGGGAAGGGCTGGCTGGGTCAGGGAGAGAGGGAGCTTTTCACAGCCACCTCCCCAGCCTGAATCCAGCCTAGGCTGATGGTGATTTCAAGTTGGTGCCATTTGATGGCTCTTTGGTGGCCTGTATTAAATGAAGGTGCTAGGTTAGGATGTTTCAATCCCAGCTCTGACACAGCCCACGTGACACTGGGTGAGTCAGTCGGTTTCCCTGTGCCTCAGCTCCCTGATCTGTAACTGGGAGGAGGTAACCGCCCCAAACAGGGGTGCCGTGAGGACAAATACATGAACAACTGTGTGGCCCTCAGGCGCTCTGGTAACGGGGGCCACGCATGTACAATGGACAGACAGTTTGGTCTGTCTCAGCCCAGTCCTTGGTGGACAGGTGCCTGCATCACTAACTCCATCCCCACATCTGGCACTCCACAGCTCCCTTTGCTGGCAGGCTCAGCCCGGAGGCTGGGGGGTGAATGGGCCAGGAGGAATGAGCTCCCCTCTCTCCACTAGCAGGGGTCCCCTCCAGCTCAGAAGAGAGGGGTCGGGGAAGGGATCACTGCTGATGTACCTCAGTCTGGGAGAAGGGTCTTCGATCTATCGTCCCCACTACCTGCCAACGGGCCAAAGTCCTGGAAAAACCCAATCAGCAGAGGGCAGCTCAGTCTCCATGGCCCAGTCTGACAGGGACCTCTTTGCTGAGACCAGCTACAGATGGGGATGCCTGTGCAATAGGAACTGGGCTGAGAACCACCTAACTCATTTCACAGAGGCGCTCCCAGCTCAAGCCAGCACCTCTATGAACAAAGAAGCACTAAAGAGTATATTTGTCTCCCTCCCACGCTAACATGTGTACCTGGACACATACAAGAGCTCTCATTCTCGCTCTGCAGGGATCTACCATTCCACAGCTGCTCCATACCAAGCACAGATCTAACCAATTGTTTTTTAAGTCCTCATTAGTGATTCACTGCAATTTCCCCTCTTCGGTACTTACCATGATTGGAAAAATCCTCTTTCCTCACTGCCTTGGGAAGGCTGGGAAATAACACACACACACGCATGCACAAAGGGGAGTTAATCTCACACAGCCTGGGAGCCCTGACCGCAGAGGTGACCCAAGGGGGCCTGAGGCCCAAGGGCAGGATGTATTTAGCAGACCGACATCACCCGTATGCCCATGGGTTTTCCTTGTAACTCTTTCCTGTGCAGTCATTGCTGGGGAAAGGAGCCAGAGGGACAGCCTGGCAAATGCAATCTGATGGCCTTTGGGCCAGGATCAAAGGGATCACCTAGGAGGCCAAAGGCGGCTCTGCACACCTCTAAACCAACCAGTCTCAGTGTGTGTGGCATGGGTGACAGTGGGATGGATAGGGGAAAGGACAGCAGAGAGGAGCCCATACAGATGATTTAGTTGGGGATTGGTACTGCTTTGAGCAGGGGGTTGGACTAGATGACCTCCTGAGGTCCCTTCCAACCCTGATCTTCTATGATTCTATGTCAGCCAGCACTGAACTGGGGCTGCCCCTACACTGGTCCCCTGGAAAGAAAAGTGCACGGGGTGGAAAAGGTTAGGTTGACCCAGGGCCAGCCTTAGAAATAGTGTCCTAGATGAACTTATATTTTGGCGCCTCCCCAGCCCTTACCCCTGGCCCTTCTTGCCTTCCCAGCCGTTCCCTGCATCGCCCCTGCCCCCGAGCTCCCTCCCACGGCCTCGCACCCCAGGCCCACCTGCTCCTTGCCTGTTGACCACAGTGTCCATCCTGGGTCCTGCCTGCTGTCTGGGCTGGGTCCAGGGCGTTTGCAAGTGCAGTGGGTGGCAGGGGAAGAGCCAAACAACTCGCAGAGTGAGGAGACGGGACTAGGAGCTGGGCTGGGAAACGAGGTGGGGCAGCGAGCAGGGAGCCTTTGACTGGGAGCAGGGTGCTCCTGTCACGCTGGACCACACCCCGCTGGCAGCAACAGGGAGCCCGAGCCCCTTGACCACGGAGCCCCCCTGACCACAGTGCCTTGGACAGTCGCCCACCCCTAAGGCCGGCGCTGGTTGGCACCCACGCAGGAGTGAACCACAATGCTGCCGTCAGCGCTCCCCAAGCGCTGCCGGCCCTGCTCAGCACCAGAAGAGGGTGCATCGGAGGATGGGGCCTGGTCAGACGCTGTGTGCACCGGTAGTGCCTTGAGACTGGCAAAGCTCATGCTCCCCAAAGCTTCCCAGACCCCCAACGTAGGCATAATGCCACCTGCATCTATCATCTGGATGTCTCCACTCCTTGCTCCTCCTCCTGGCTCTCCTACCCAACCTGGAGTCCACAATATCCCCCCTCGGCTGGTGTGGGAAGCCGTCCGTTCTCACTGAGTACAATTCATCCTCCTTAACACTCAGCCTCCCAACTACACCGACTCCGTTTGCTCCTTCATCACTCGCCTCTTCGGGCCTCGCCTGAATAGCTGAGGGGCGGGGAAGATAATGTTTTGTGTGTGGGAAAGGAAAAAGCAAAGGCGGATAACGTTTTGTGTGGGTGGGGGGAGGATGGAGACAGAGGGAGAGAAGCAGGGAATCATCACTTGGGCTGGAAAGTGGCTCTGGGAGGTTATTACCGCCCCTGTCCTCTGCATGGTGGCAGGACCAAATACCCTCTCCCTGGCTGGCCCCCGACAGGTGGGTGGCTTAGTCTGAGCCTTGAATTTCCCCAGAGTAGGTGATGGCACAAGGGGCGCTAAAAAGAGAGAGAGGGAGGGAAGGAGAGCAAACAGCCAGGGGAAGGAAGATGCACAAATGCTCAGGGCTCCTCCAAAGGCAGTGATTCAGCACCCCCCTAGCCCACCCAGCAGCACAGAGCTCCGAACACACCACGCGCTAGGAGTCTGAGCCAAAGCCCAGTGAAGTCAGTGGACTAACCCCCCACCCCTTCTCTGCTTGCCTCTGGGTTGCACTATCATGTCCTGTCTAGTTCACGATGCCCTATTCGCCCGGCAGCTGCAGAGTCCTCCCCACTAGGAGTTCACCGACAAATCCCTAGTGATCAGGACATCCAGGCTGCTGAAGTGCAAACCTCGAGGACGGGTCCCAGATCAGAGAGGGAGGCCTTGGTGAAGTTTCCCTTTTCCTTACCTGGGCGAGACCTTTCATATGAGGGAAGTCGAGAGCCTGGCTTGGGGGGGGGGGGAGGGAAACGTCTCTCCCCCCTCCCCTTCCAAGGGACTGAGAGCGGGCCCCAGCTCGGACGGGCA